TCATGTGTGTCTCTCTGCCCTATCCCCACTTAAGAAAAATATTTTCCTCTCTCACGTGTACATTGTATTGTATAATTACTAAAGTAAGTAGAACGTATAGGGGATATGAAAAGGAGAATCTAAATTGATTTGAACAAGTGTACGAGGACAATTTTTTACTGCAATCATAATGAAAAATTTCTACATCCCTCTATCCCCAATTTGGGTTGTAGCTCTCATCTGACCCTCATATAAAAACAAAAAGTTTTAATAATTGGTAAGTGAAAGTAAGGGAGTGGTAGAACTTGACGAGGGACAATTTTCTATTGCAATTATAATAAAAAAAATTCTATATCCTTCTATCTCCAATTTGGGTTGTAGCCCGCCATCAGTGCTCTATTATAAAAATAATAATAATAAAAATAATAATTAGTAACCGATGAGAAATTAAACAACACAATCATAATAAAAACTTTTACACAACATAATCCTCATAAGAGATTAGTAAAAGCTCAATTGAAATAAGATACTTCTTTAGTCTCCTCCAATGCTTCAAAATTTTCTATTGAAATTATCAAACCTTCTAGTTTACTAATCAAACTTCTTCTAAGTTTTTAACTTGTACCATAAAGATTTTGTATCATAAATTTATTGTTTATTTAAAATTATATATAGAGAGACATGTGAAAGACTTATATACAAAGTAAATAAAAATAAGGCTTATCACAATAAAATCATGTTATTCCACTCATATTATTCCAATGACTTATCATGTTGAAACCAAAATCTAATCATGTTAGTCAAACATAGCTATATTTTTTATATTTGGGTGGTAATGTATTTCTCATATTTCTTCCAGACATAGCGAAACAGTAGTAATGTATTTCCTAAATTGCATTTAAATACTACCCAAACAATGACAATCCATTTACAGATAATGTATTACGCAGTAATGTATTACGCTCGTAATATATTTTACAGACAATATATTTCTCAGTATCCAAATAGCCCTAAATTTCTAACGTTAACTCTTCATATAAATTTTACAAACAATATATTTCCAAGCAATGGTTTAAAAGCGGATCAGTGACCAGGATCGGGCATCTCAAAACCGATCCAGATCGGCGAATAGACGATCCGGATCGGGAATCGACTGAATCGGTTGGATTAAAGCTTCAAAAAAATCCTAAAAAATTATTAAAATTCATTATAAATATTGTTTTTTAGGAATCCAATAAGAAATAAAGGTACTACACTATTAACTTTCATTTTTTTCGTCAATTTGTGAATATTGAGATGCTCTTTCCCTGTATAAACTTATGTTAACCATTAAATTTACATCACATAAAAGAAAAATCATAGAATTATCATAGATAAAATATATAATTATACATGGACTACTATAAAGAGTAGACTAATCAATGAAAGAATGGCCATTAAAATTTTGTTTTGGCGAAAAACCCTAATCAGCTAAAAAAATCCAAATTATTACAATCTAACAAACTATAATCCAAAATTATTAAAACCTAACTAATTATAATATTATATACTAAAATTATAATTATTAGTTTATATTTTATAATTATTTTATTAGACAAATAATAACAAATTAAAAATATTTTATAATATTATCTAATTTAAAATGTATTATTAACAACCGTAAGAAAAATAGTGCATTACATGATTGATAATGTAAAAAGTAATAAATAAAATAAAAGATTTGGTTATCAATGTAAAAATTAATAAAATGCGTACAAATTTTGAAAATAATACTTCAATTTTTCAAAAATTTATTTTTTTAGGTTTCTATAATAAATTTAGTGAAAGAGATTGTTAGTCGAAAGGTGGAGATTTCTATTTTTTTATACTTTTCATATTATTTAAAAAAATAATTATACCACTATATACAAAAAAAATTAACTGCTATATAAAAAGTTAAATTTTTTATTTTTTATTTTTTTATATTATTTACAAAAATATTTATACAATATATACAACACAAAAAAATAACGCCCACGGGGGGACTCAACCTTGAGAGGTCACATAAAGAACCAAAGGTTTTAACCACCTCACCATATATGATTATAACTTGATGATTAATAAAATACATT